TGCAAATTTTCACAAACCAACTTTTAAGTACATTGTCATACATAATTCCTCGACACATCCCTATCAGCATAACATCATTCAAGTAATATTACACTGTCGAAAAGTATTTTGTATGGAGAACTGGGTTTTATCGAAGAAATTGCTGTCAACGGTTGCAAGGAAGTTGCTATTGACTCCATTCTTTCAAAAAAAAACTAAGAAAACAAGTCATTTACCAGGTCTATCCCACTTCTGCATTATAGGACATAGATATACGTTGGTGAATTCACCAATAACATCACTCGTTTTTTGGAACGGAAAGACTTAGGACGTGGCTAACTGGACAAATAATTAATCAAGCAAAGTCACTAAAAACAATAGTGTCGGATAGATCAGGAGTATATGAGTAGACTTGTGGGTTCAGTCCAAACCTTTATATTGGCCAAATGGGTAGAACTTTTTCCCAGGGAGTGAAAGAACATAGGAGTAGCTCTTGAATGTGAAGACAAATTCCACATCTGCCAATTGTCTTCCGACAGAGGGACGTGAGTTGAACCATGATTATAAAGTATTACATGGGAGAGTAGGGTTTGAAAGTAAACCTTTTGGAATGTTTGGAAATCAATAGATTTGAGAATTCTCAAAATTCACTGAATGACCAAATAGAATTGAATTCTACCCCTCTGTTGATCTGTTTTCTAATGAGGAAATTGGTAGTCAGTTTATTGCCAATCACAACACCGTAGTCATGCCTCAGCCATCATATGCACCAGTTCTTCCCCTCCTGCAACTTTTTTCTGTTGCCACGAGACCCATGAAAAGACGTCGTTTTGCGAAGATTGAGCTGATTAAAACTGATGTGAGGTGAATCATCTAATTAACAATACAGACAAAATGGTGTTCATAGAGTTTACAAGTCCCCTCAAGCGAACACACAATCTTACAATAAATATTGATGATATTGAAATAAACACCTCAGAATCAGAACGATACTTAAGTATGGAACTAGACTACAAGTTCTCATTTAACAACCAAATAGATTCTATTTGCAAAAAACTAAATAAACTATATTATGCTTTCTATACACTCAAGTCAAATTTAACATTCACATCTATTTATTTGTATAAATTACTGAGGTATACCTTTTTAAATAAAGGAAAACTAAACAAAAACAGTGAGTACCTACCACAGATACGATATGAGAAAGAAAAATGACTTTTACTTACGTCCCATACTCAGATCACATCACAAAAAATCATCTCTGTATGCAGGGGCTTATTTATTCAACTTATTGCCTGAAAACATGAAATCGGAAACGAAAATAAAAACTTTTAAACATACACTGATCAAATCATTTTATATATTATTAGACAATGGAAGTCAGAACTAATGAAATTCATCGTGAAACACTGTCAATCACCATCAAACAAACGCAAAACCCTAATTAATATTCCACAAAAACTTCGGTAGACAATCTGTATATCGCTGTTATCTGAAATGTGCAGGTCAGGGGGACAAGTGTTATCTTAATTTTCCTCCATTAACATTTGGATATAATTGTTGGAAGTGACTTATTTGGATAGTATCAAGTGGGTACGCTTTTTGGTGAGTGTGTAATCTCTATCATCAATCAGGTTTAAAGAAAGATTCGAAATGGCATGTTAAGATCACGTTTTTATAGAGTGAAGTTCAAGGTCTTGATTGACGTGTCGATGGAGAATTAATTTTTTCAAGCGACTTTCCCGAGGTCACGTTTTTTGCTCTACAAATTTTCAATTAGAAGTCTTTCATAGTCACTCGTTCACTTTACTGGTTTTTCGGAAATTATTATTATTGATATTGGGATGAATATTCAAACAGAATATATAAATGATAAACACCACTAGTTTGAGTGTCATTTATTTATTACTCTGAAAACGAATGCTAGACAAGTCGACCGTCATGGATCGGGAATCGAGGTACACGCATTTAAAAAGTCAACTGGTTTTTACACCAACATATGGATTCCCGATACAGGGTGATTAAAGACACATATATGACAGAGAAACGTGTTTTTATATCAAGTTGTCAAATTTTTGTGAAACCCAAGGAACATCTGGACAAGTTTTGCTTCACTGAAGCTAATATTTTTCCTGGAGTTAATAGTTACCAAATAGAATTCGATATGAAGAAAACCTTGCCTTCAAATTTCTATATAGTAAATTACCTACATACAACCCCACAATAATAATGGATATCGATAATAGTGTGCACATAGAAATACCATTCATATTAAATATATATTGATGGACTGTATATTAACATATGTTAAAGGTAGGTACGTGTAATAACAGTTATGAAGGTAGTTATACAACTCAAATAATGAATAGAAACACTTTTGTCTAATTTACACCGCATGATTTACAACTGATCGCTTTGTAATTTGAATTTACCACGGCTGTGCAACGGCACGCGATTAGTCATTGAAAAATTAATAGCAAGCTCCGAGGTGTGCCAATTCATTTCAAACGTGTGCAATTTCCAATTAGATTGGTATTCGAAATGACCATTAATAAATCCCAAGGGCAAGCAATGTCCGTTTGTGGCTTGGATTTTAGCACGCCGTGTTTTTCACATGGACAATTATATGTGGCACGCTTTCTAGTGGGATAAAGGGATAAGGGACTTATATTATTTGTAAGTATTAATGTTCTGAGACACACTAAAGTTAGTTATTGTTTTCTACCTTAGAAATTCCCCAGAAATGATTTATATGGCTAAACGTTTGCCGAGCTAGTTATCATATAAATATTTCAAAGCAAGATGTTATATAAGAAGCTTTTCAATTACTACATTATACAATTTACCTAGAGAGAAACCTAGAGGTCGACTCTTTTTATACTGACCTCTCTAAAGCTTTCGCCTGCGTTGATCATGATCTTCTCATAGCTAAGATCCTAGCATTAGGTTAACCCTGTGGACCAACGAATGTTGGTTGGTCCACTTGGTTCCTAGTAATCTAGGAAGGGGCCCCAACAGTCGACCCGCTCGGAGGGGTTAGAGGCAAGGTGGTGGGGCCCATAACGATGATTTGCCTACCGATGACAACCCTGGCAATGACAACGGACGCTTTGAGTGGACGCATGAGCTACGAGGGTAGTGAGCCCGCGCGAACAAGGTACATGGTGAGATTGCATGCTCTGTGAGTAGATGGGATAAGAGACTTCTGGAACGTATTTCCTAGGGGACGTAATTACGGTAGTGAGTGGGAAAGAGAGGTGTGCGACGTGATCGACGCATAGAAGGATGGAATGAGCATCGAGTAGATTCAGTTGATAGATAAGGGCGCGGTGGAATTACAAAAATAACGGTATAATATTAATAATGAACGAAAAATCGGATTAAAGAAAAAAACATGGCCACGGACGTTAAAGAAAAAAACATATCTGCCAACGAAATAGAAAAAAACATGACTGTCATATAGTGTGTATCATCGTTTAGGAACAAAAAATGTACGGGGTGTCTCAAATACGTCAGCGTGGAAAATAATGATATAATAATAATAATAATGAACGAAAAATCAGGATTAAAGGAAAAAACATGGCCACGGGCGTTAAAGAAAAAAACATGTCTACCAACGTAATAGAAAAAAACATCGCTGCCATACAGGGCGTCTCATCGTTTAAGAAAAAACACGTCATACAACATACATACAAATACGTCAGCGTGGAAAATAACGGTATAATATTAATAATGAACGAAAAATCGACTTAAAGAAAAAAACATGGCCACGGGCGTTAAAGAAAACAACGTGGTTGTCAACGTAATAGAAAAAAACATGGCTGTCATACAGGTTTTCTCATCGTTTAGGAAAAAAACATGTACGTCGTCGTGAAAAATAATGGTATTATAATGATAATAATGAATGAAACATCGGAATAAAGAAAAAAACATGACGTCAGTATGTACAGGGTGTCTCAAAATACGTCATTCAAAAGACATGACAGTTTAACGAGGCTCTATCGTTTTGTCGTGTGATTCCTCAATGTGTACAGGGTGTCTCATCGTTTGAGAAAAAACATGTACGGGGTGACTCAAATACGTCAGCGTGGAAAATAATGATATAATAATAATAATGAANAAAATATAGGTGCTTATAACTGCGAAGTTACAATATGAGAAATGAAGAACAAAAAATGAGGGGAGAAAAAAAAGATATACTTATATTATTAGGTCGTTCCATAGTTAACACTATCATTGCCAAATGGTTGATTTTTTTGCTGTTTCTGCAGTGTTTCGTTGAAAATTCTTTATCAGTCAGTATACTCCACGAGACAGTAGAATAAATATTTATTGAGATATAAAGCTACAAAAACACAGGACATTAAAACGGATGGACTTTTGAAAGAACTTAATACTCAACATAGAAGTGGTCCGAGATACGATTCCTGAGGTACTCCACATGAAGGATTGTAATAAAAAGGACCATAGCCATATATAAAAATTTTTCACGTTAAAATAAGTAGGATTTAATAAAAAGTACTGATGAATTATGGAAATCAAATTGTTGAAGTTTTTGTAGAAAAATCTTGCTTAGCAAAATTCGTGTATGTTACATCAACTTGACCACGATTATCTAAGACATACTAACATTTTGACATTGCAAATAATCTTGGAAGTATACAATTTTGAATATTTAGAAATTATTGACAGTTAAATTCACATCACAAGAGTCGGAAGAAAAGACCAATTCGTGGAAAGTAATGTTTTATATAATGCACATTTCATAATGGATATGTAATTATTAAGTGAGTAAAACTTGGTTTATCAAATATGCCCGTTCCCTATCCCTATTTTCACAAATTTCTCTAACGCCTGTAGTTTTCCAACTAGTTCTCTCATACACACAGTAATCATTTAATGTCCACAGACGATCTCAACTTTATAGGTTAGTTAACAGGGTTTGTGATGCAGAACTGTCATAGTTAAACTACTAAGACTTACCTCGTCGAAATTGTATTCACCGTCACTTTCTGTACTAGGTCGAAAAACCCGAACTCAAGCACATACAGAGCAACTTCATGGTCTGCGTCAACTGCTGGGACCTACTAAACTCTTCCGATAGCTTGCAGCGCGAGTTCATAAAACTGAACGGGCACCTCAAGCTGGACCCCCTCCTGGCGGGTTTCGTGATCGACTACGCCCTATACAAGGGCCTCTACGATGAGGCGCTCATGTTCCTGCACAAGATAACCGATAGCTCGCTTCTGCTACAAAGGCACATGAGGCTCACGAGTGTCCTCTACACCAAGAAGAACTACGCTTCGTGCTTAGAGCCAATCCTGCTGGCGCTGCCTCTGCTGCCGAGTAATAATGTGGGTTGTCTCAGCAGCAGCTTGATCATGGGCGGAAGTCAGAAACACCTGCACTATCTGCCGCTGACCAAGACGGCCGCTCTGCAGTATCTAGTCAAGGTGTTACTCAGGTAAGTTACTTTTTCTCCCAACAAAAAATGTTATATTCATCTATACAGATTGATGTTTGAATGTTCGTATGGGCAAAATGCACCAAAAGAGCGGACGCGAAAAAATAAAGAAGAACTCATATCTGCCATCCAATGACTTTATTGGACCCCACGGGACATACTTCGATGTATCCTTTTCGAAGCTCTGGTCTATCAGATATATTCCTCACAGTCGTAAGGGGCTGTAGAGAATCAATCATTCCTCAGAGCCGTAGGGGACTATGTGGTATGGTCAGTTTGTTAGAAACTCAAGTTTCTAAATGCTTAAAATGGATCTGCCATCTAGGTTTGGACATTTGAACCTCAAACTCAAGGAAACAATGATCATTACCTCAGAGGAAGAAAATAATATAGACTTTCTTCTGTTCTCTTTCATATAACCAAAATCATATAACCAATCAGTCAGTTGTTTGCACATAAACCTTTATCACTGTACAATACGAACCATATCATATTGGGTTTTGTCAGTACATATTGAACGCGATTATTATCTTGCTGTTTCCGATATCTGTCGAGGATTGGTTATCCTGTTCATGTTTATGCTTGTAAGTTTGGTTTGTTCTCATATGTCTCCAAATTCTGAAGTTTTTTGTGATTTTCAGAATTAATTTTTTTGTTTCCAGGGTTTTTAAGGTGGTGAAAACTTGTTAAGTTTGTGAACCTTCCCACTTCTCAAACATGAACGTCTGCTTTTTGTATGCACTTGTTAACAACAGCCCTTGCCTATATGACAGAGATGGATGTTACGATTGTTCAAAGAGAAAAGTACCTTCACTGAAGATATAGATAGAGTAATATCAACTTTCTCTTCATTTCCTTGAGTTTTTCAGCACCACCTTGTGGTAATGGCCTCATCGAATTCCATACAATTTTTTCTTCTTCTTATTGTTGTAACCTAAGTTCTTCAAATGGGTTTTGCCTCGTGTTATTTCTTGCTGTGACGAGTTATCTTACCAACGTCTTAAACTCGATTTGATGCTATTCATTTCTCTTAATCGCTGATCTTCCGAATTTAGTACTACTGATCTGATAACAGAATAACCATTCGAGTAATAGCCTTAACCATATTTAATCTAAAGTGCTTGTATCTATTCAAGGAAATATTTGCAAACTATACCCTCTTTCAATGTATTCATTTGAAATTAGCTAATCCGGAAATTACTACTGCTACTGCTGTAAACCACCATTTTCGGTGTCTTTCCAATCTCCATAGAAATATTGAAATGTATCTAAATACGTTTCAGCAGTTGCATTTTCTATCTTTACAACATATTTTCACAAACTTTCCAGATGCGTCAAAGAAAACATGGCGAAGCACAGCTACAGCGAGCTGTCCATTGGCCATATTTTCACCCTGGTCCAGCTCGACTGGCCCCAAGAGGAAGACTTCGTGCCCCCACTTCTGGAGCAGATCCAGCAACACCGCACGTTCCAGTACCACAACTTCCAAAACTACATCTTGAATGTTGACATATTTTTTATGAAAACTACTTGATTTTCGTCAGGAGGAACATTCCCCATTAGTATATTATTTATTGAACAGCCATTTGGTTAGATCTATGGATATATGTTGAGGTTCTCATAGGGATTTCCCAAGGATCCTATTCAGGGCCTCTATTATTCATCTTTTATTACAGAACACAAAGTTTCTCGTGTTTGAAACCCACACTTAAAGTTTTCTATTCTTGAATCCACTTTAGTTCTCACACAGATTTTTTTTAATTCTATCCGTTGGTGAGGAAGTCCCCATAGGATAAGAGACTGATGTGATGATATTATTTGATTTAAATCCATATTTCAATGAATTTGAACAAATAAACACAAATATGTTTCAGATATCCTGGAAATGTTTCGACAAGTCTCCCCACGTCGGTCACTTCAGGATCCATCCGAAAGAGTACACAGCAGTCTTGAATTCCTTCCTGGCTAGTCTGAACATTCCCCAGAAGACGTCGAGAATCGAAAGACAAGAGGAGAAAATCAAGGCGAAGCTGTAGTTTTGGCTAATGCGAAGTGTGAGGGATCGATTTGATTTTTTTTACATTCATACTAATGTAGGCGTCAGAAGTGTTTGTAGACTAGCGCCAAAGGTTTCCAGTTTTGTAACTGAAGGTTTTTTGCGTATCCCCTGTCGTTCGCTCTGCAACAATTTTTTTAGTTGTGTCAGCTCCTAGGCAAACTCTTTGAAATCAACAAGTTTGTTGTTTCGGAAGCGGATAATGTGATATTGTTTTTGGGGTGTCTCATATGTTGAAATTCTCAGTTTCATTGACAGTGACTCAAACTGTTTGCGAAACATTATTTAATTTTTTATACAACATAGTGTGTTTTTTCTTCGAGAGGTTCTGCGATATTTTTGTTTGGTGAATGTCGGAGTAATACATGCAAACTGCAGATTTGGTCTAAATGCCTGTGATTTTGATAAATAAATAGTGAAAATCCCATTCTGTTGTTTCAATTACGAACCTGTAGAATTTCTGGCGGTCCTGCTTCCAGGGAAATTCGAGATTAGAAATTATATTAATTATATTGTATTGAAAGAAGATCGGAAAATATGGAAAACAAATTAAGGATTTTTCTGTGAAAAAAGTTGATTAAGGCTCCTCTTAAACGCGCGTTTCCTCGTGTAACGCCATCTAGGGGACTAGACAGTAACTATTTCCTGTCCGATTGTTGTCAAACTGTACAAAAGATGGCGGTAAGCTTCAATACGAAGCGGGACGTTTCTAGTCTCCAGATACTAACAATCAAAACGTCGTGAAGTATTCAGCTATTCTTTTTAATCTTTAATATGCATTGGTTCTTCTAGGGAGTTCAAATCATTTTATATATTATTAGACAATGGAAGTCAGAACTAATGAAATTCATCGTGAAACACTGTCAATCACCATCAAACAAACGCAAAACCCCAGTTAATATTCCACAAAAACTTCGGTAGACAATCTGTATATCGCTGTTATCTGAAGTGTGCAGATACGGATACCCCTGAACACTAGGTCAGGGGGACAAGTGTTATCTCAATTTTCCTCCGTTATCATTTGGATATAATTGTTCGAAGTGACTTATTTGGATAGTCTCAAGTGGATACGCTTTTTGGTGAGTCTGTAATCTCTATCATCAATCAGGTTTAAAGTAAGATTCAAATGGCATGTTAAGATCACGTTTTTATAGAGTGAAGTTCAAGGTCTCGATTGACGTGTCTGTGATGAATTAATTTTTTCCCGCGACTTTCCCAAGGTCACGTTTTTTGCTCTACAAGTCTTCAATGAGAAGTCTTTCCTATTCACTTGTTCAGTTTACTAGTTTTTCAGAAATTATTACTATTGATATTAAGATGAATATGGAAACAGAACTTAAATGATAAACACCACTAATTTGAGTGTCATTTATTTATTACTCTGAAAATTATTGCTACACAAGTCGACTATCGTGGATCGGGAATCGATGTACACGCATTTAAAAAGTCAACTGGTTTTTACACTAACATATGGATTCCCAATGCAGGGTGATTAAGGACACATATATAACAAAGAAACATTTTTTATATCAACTTGTCAAATGTTTTGTGTTTTTTTTTCTCGGAGAAACCCAAAGAACAATTGGGCATGCTTTGCTTCACTGAAGACGGCACATTTAGCTAATATTTTACAGCGCCATCTAATGATGAATTACAGAAAAATTGATAGCCCTAAAACCTTCTCTATAAAAAATTACTCATACATGTCAAGTTTCATCACGATCGGTTGAGCGATCAAGTTTACGACTCACCAACCAACCAACAAACATTATATATTAGATTACACACAGCCCGCAATAATAATGGATATCAATAATAGTATGCACATAATAATAGCGTGAAAGACTCTTCATTTAAATAAATACATTGATGGACTGTATATTAACATATGGTAAAGGTACGTGTAATAAAAGTTACAAAGGTTGTTATTGAACTTCAATGAAATGAATAAAAACACTTTTGTCTAATTTACACCGCATAATTCACAACTGATCACTCTGTAATTTTAATTCACCACGGCTGTGCAACGGCACGCGATTAGTCATTGAAAAATTAATGGCAGCTCCGAGGTGTGCCAATTCATGTCAAACGTGTGCAATTTCCAATTAGATTGGTATTTGAAATGGCCATTAATAGATCCCAAGGGCAAGCAATGTCCGTTTGTGGCTTGGATTTTTAAACGCCGTGTTTTTCACATGGACAATTATATGTGGCATGCTTTCGAGTGGGCAAACCGTCCAGGTTGTTTGTGTTAGCTAAACATGGACTAACGGGATAAGGGATTTATATTATTTGTAAGTGTTAGTGGTCTGACACACACTAGTTAGTTATTGTTTTCAACCTTAGAAATTCCCCAGAAATGATTTATATGGCTAAACAATATTTGACGAGCTAGTTATTATATAAATATTTCAAAGCAAGATGTAATATTTATTTGTAATACAATACTCTACAGGACATAGCCCAATTACAGAGCAGGAAATAACTGAGTATAATAAATACATCACAAACAATTGACTGTAAAGTCTACACACACTACAAACAATACAAACAAGTGACTATAAAGACACACATTTTATATTTATTATAGGTGACAAAACAATTATTTTAGGAAGTGGGATTTTATATTTGACAATTTGCAACTACATATATTTAAATTATAGCTAACAGAATTTGTCACTTTACACATGGTATGGATCGGAGAATTCTCCAGAACATTTGTGCGAGATGTTTTTATATAGAAAGTACTCGGTTGTCTGAAACAGATTCCAGGAATGCAAATATTAAACTTTTCCAGTAATGTTGGGCAGTCAACTATGCTTTTGACAATTTTATAGGTTAGTGCAACACTATAATATTCACGCCTTTTTTCGAGACTGCAAAAGTTATGCTTTTGTAGCAATTTAGAGTGGGTTGTTCCTATTGGAGGATGAATGCCATTGGTTTTTAGGCTTAGCAATTTTAAAAATCGTCGTTGAATTGCTTCTATTCTATCAATGTGATATTGATAAAAGGGGCTCCACAGAACTGACGCGTATTCTAACTTTGATCTTATGAAAGCATAGAATAAAGTTTTTATGGTCGAAGTTTCTTTGAAATCACTACTGTTGCGTGCAATTAATCCGTACAAACGACAGGAGGAGGTTACAACATTATCGATATGCCTATTAAATGATAGTGCAGTGTCAAATGTGACGCCAAGGTCAGTAAATGTTTCTGGTCTCACCAGGGAAACGTTTTCTATTGAATAACCAAAGATCAAGATATTCGTTTTCAAACTGTAGGACATGACCTTACATTTATCCGGGTTCAGTGACAAGCTATTTCGATAACACCATTCTACAACCCGTTCTACGTTTGCTGAACAATCATCTATGTTCTCAACGAGGCAGTATAGTTTTAGATTATCGGCATATAAAAGGAAATACACATCTAAAACATCTGCAATTTCATTAATGAATATATTGAAGAGCAACGGTCCCAGATTTGAACCTTGTGGAACACCGGAAGAAGAACTATATTCGGTAGATTTGAAACCATTGAGCAAGCACAAGTGCACAATCTTTTAGGATGAAAGCTGGAATGTCATCTGGACCAGTGGTCTTTTTAGGCTTGAGCGACCTTAGTGCCTCGTATACTTCGTTTTCACTGAAGCTTGATATATCAAGAAAGTGATTATTGTCAATATCAGAGTTTGGTTGAAAAGGGGAAGAAGCGGTATACAATTGTTTGAAAGATTAGCAAAACCGTTTACGATATTAGAGGGTCCCTCCAGCAATTGACCTTCAAAATTCAGTACTTGAACCATATTAAAATGGATATAGAGTAAGCTATCCTTGAAAGCTAGACATATGCCATCGCGGGCCTTTTTATAGCCTTGTAAAAGAAGAGCATCATGTACTGAATTGTTTTGTTATATCTAAAAGGAATTAGACAGCGTGTCCGATGAAACCTCTACGGCTTTGCACGGGTAACTCCACCTCCCCGACTTCGCACATCATGTTACTCCAACCACAACTTGCACAAAACATTGATGCATTATATACGAAATCCTTTCTCTTTAATTACTTTGCTTTATAGCATGTAGTGACATTTTTGAGCTTCATCTCGAAACCAAGCTGATTGAAAAAACTCCCAGTTTTTGAACGAATTCGCGCCAAATAAATAATCGAATTCTACGTGTCAAAGTTTTCAAATAAATTTCCTGCGTCCTTGAAAATATCACTAACCGTGCTGATATTGCTAGATTTATATCGACGTTGCACAAAAATTGTTTGAGATTGTGAACGTTCCAATAATTTATTTTTAATAGTGTTTTCATTGTATCCAATCTAACGAAAGCGAGGTAAGTAATAATCTCGGCGAGATCAATAACTGTTTTTTATTTCAAAGTATTTAATAATTGCGTGACACGCAAAAATGTGATCGTTGTTGAAAGAATGGAGACTAATATTGT